ATGTGTATTCTGTGGTTTTTGGATGAAGTGTTCTATATATATCTACTAAGTACATCTGATCTAAGGTGTCATTTAAGGCCAGTGCTTCCTTATTGATCTTCTGTTTGGATGATTAACACTGATTTATTGTATATTTTTGTTCAACTGTATACATTTCTCCCCCAATTGCAATGTAAACCTCATAAGAGCACTGACTTTATCTGCTTTTCACAACTCTATCCCTAATACCTAAAATAGTGTCATGTCCATAGGAGATTCTCAACAAATATTTGTTTAATGAAGGAATAAATTAATCTAGATTTTAGTCCACCTATATCAATATGTGGAATTTTGAACCACTGATATTATAATGAATTAGCTATAATATAAACCTTTTGATTAAATGTTAGAGTATTTAAAGAGTGATGGATGATTTTCTGTATTGCTGACATATTTTTTTTCTATATTTTTACTTAGTTTTTGCAGTCTCCACCTTTGACACAATGATTTTCTGGAAAACACATTGTAAGTTGGATAATCTCAAAATATCTCATGCTTTCATTAAGAATGGTGTCTAATTAATTGATAATAACATGTCACATAAATTATATCTATAAAACCATAAAAGGACATTTAATATGAAGTTATTTTAAAAATATTCAAAACCCCCCCTCCTGAAACAAATATGTGACGTTAGCAAAGTTTATCATGAATAAATTGCTTTCCTATATTCTAAGAATGAACAAAGGGGATTTGAGATGAAAATTAATACCATTTATTATAGCACTCAAAAATAAAGCACCTGGGTATAAATATAATAAAATAAGGTATACCTGAATGCTGAAAAATATAGAACACTGATGAAAGAAATTTAAAAAATCTAAATGAGTTTAAAGGTGTACCATATTCATGGATTGGGAGACTTTATGATGACTGTTTCCAAACATCTTGGAATTCTAATTGAAACTCAAGCAAGCTCTTTTTAGTAAGTATTGTTAAGATGAATCTAAAATGTATGTGGAATGGCAAGGCTACCAGAATATATATATATATATATATATATATATATATATATATATAATGAGATACTATTCAGCAATAATAAAAAAGGGTTCACTATTGATATATTATGGGTTGAATTGCATCCCCTCAAAAATTCAATTGTCAAAGTCTTAACCCACAGTCTTCAGAATGTGATCTTATTTAAAAAACGGATTGTTGCAGATTTAATTAGTTAGGATGAGGTCATACTTGAGCAGGGTAGGCCCAAATCCAGTATGATTCATGTCCTTTTAAAAAGGGAAAATTTGGACACATTCAGGCACAAAGGGAGAACACTATGTGAAGATGAAGATAGAGATCTAGGTGGTGTAGGAAGACAAAAGCTTGCCATCAAACCACTGAGAAGCTCAGAGACAGACACGACACAAATTATTTCTTGCAGAATTCGCAAGGAACCAACAAAACCACCCCTGCCAACACTTTGATCTCAGACTTCTAGCTTCCAGAAATATGAGACAATAAATTTCTGTTGTTGAAGCCACCCAGTTTATGGTACTTTTTTATGACAGTTATAGGAAATTAATATAGGTAACAATATGAATGCATCTGAAATACACCATCCTAAGTAAAAGAAGCTAGACATAAGTCTACATACACTGGGATTATATTTATAGGACATTCTTACAAAGGCAAACTTATGTGAACAAAAACAGTTTAGTAGTTGTCAGCAGCAGGAGGTGGAAAAAGGGATTGACCACAAAGAAGCTCATGGGTTTTATTTAGAAGATGGAAACTCTTCTATACTGAGATTATGTTGGTGGTGGTTACGTGACCATATAAATTTGACTAAGCTTTTAGGTTTATACACTAAAAACTATGAATATTATTGTTATTTGTAAATTGTACTTTAAGTAGAAAATGGAAAAAAGAAATAACATGTGTGCATCCACATTGTATCGAGTTGGGTCCCTGCAGGCAGTTTAATTGCTTCTTCCTTAGGAACATGCGATGAAGGCTATAGATATCCTTGTGGAGGTCATCCCCTGAGAACTCTGTGTCTATATAACTCCGTCCTCATTCCCATGTTACCCTCTGAAATCCCAATATGACTCAATGTGACACAATTTTAGAGGGACAAGACTGTGCTGAGCCCCAGTGGCTATCACTTTAGTATCAACAGTTGTTAGTACATAGAGGCCTTGCTCCCTGACCCCTGAACTCAGGATTTGCTATGAGCTCAGCCTACAATCATGGTAAACATCTCAAGATGAAAACTATATTGATTGACTTTAAAATGATAACCTCTCAGCAAGGTGTTTTACAGAGCTTCCTTCACTTGCTATTCCCAGACACAATTCTTTGAATTATATAGAAGAGGTAATTTCCTTCTTTATTTTATGAATAAGAAGAACAGAAATGACTCCTCCAAGAACATAGTAAGAATTACTGGTGGATTCAGGGCTTGTATCCAGGTTTCTGACTCCAAGTTGGGTTCTTTTCTCCAACTTTACTTGTCTTAGAGATATTGGAATCTTTAGCTAGAAACTTATAGAAAATGTGGCTAACAGTATGTATTCGTTATTCCATGGCAAAATGTCTGATTTCAGATTCACTATTCAGGATTGACTGTCCCTTATTCTCCAACAGCAAGGTAAGCTCCTACATTCCATACATATTTTTAGTGAGAAGTGTAATTCATGAAAAATCTGTGGGACACCTATACTTACTATGACTTATTTGAGCACAGAAATGGGTGTTTTGAACATTTTTGTCTGAAACAGTGAGTGGAAGTTAGGGTTCAAATGTGAAAACTTCCATCATTAGGGAGTTTGGTGGTATGGAATATCATGATGCTGCTTTTTAAAAAAAGATTAGCCAAAAAAAAAAAAAAAAGGATAAGTGATGCTCTTATTGAGTACGTCTTAATTTTGTCTTATTTACTATCTGTTGTCTTCTCATTAGAGGTTAAAAAAATAGAAGAGAGTTAAGTAACCCTTCCTTAAACTCCAGAAGTATTATAATTGAATTAGCAATATCCATATTCCGTTGTAACCTTTTCCCCATAATCTCATCCTTATTATTACTAGCACATCTACAAATGCTGATGGTAAGTGGCTAAAAGCATAGGCTTTTGATTTGGTCATAGGTGTATTTGAGTCTTGAATTTTGAATCTTCCTCGTACTAGTTGTGTAATTGTAGAGCTTTACATGGCTTCTCAAATTCTCAGTCCTCTCAGTAGTAAAATGGAAATAATAATACTATCTGCCTTACAACTTTACTGTGAGGATCATATGACAAGATATGTGTATTTATGCACATATATAAGTAGAGGTAAATATATGTATAAATATATATCACAGAAATGCATAAATATAATTATACATGCATTTAGCTCTTCTTATTGTTTGTAGAACATACTACATTATACAAGTTGTTATGATTGTCAAAAGTTGGCAAACCTAATGACTTTAGAGGCTGGTGAAGTGAAGACAAGAAAGAAGTAGGGTGATGGTAGAGAATAATGATTAATGGATGATAGATATCCTTCATGACCACAAATTCAAATAGAAGAGATTTAAAAAGCTCTTCATACAGAAGATGGTATTCATGTAGAAGATTTTAAACATGCAGGCTAAACTCAGCCAACAAACTATGAACTTTTAACCTTCAATCTCTGTGATTGAACTGTGAGATGATAGTAATGAGAGAAAGAATGAGTTTAAGAAAGGAAACTCTTTCAACTCATGCTAAAATATGGATTTTAAGAAAGAAATTAAGCGAAACAATGCCTCATATGGAATGGATAGAACAGCCACTCATGCTGGTGGAAGACAGACTGAGAAACACCGGAAGGCACAGAAAATCTCAGTGGACCAAGTGTGTGAGAAAAAGGAAACCTAAGAGAGAGGCTACAAGATTTCAAAACTCATCCACACCTAAATCTTTGAATTTCACCAGCCACCTTTCTCAAACAAACATGGAAACTACCATTCCATGCTAATAATAATATTATAGCTAACAATTATTAGGCTATGCTGAACACCCAGAATTTTACTTATTGTTTTTAATACATTACCCTATTTGATTCTCACAATATCTTGAGGTAGACCTCATTACAATCTTCATTTTGTGGATGGAGAAGATCAAGTTCAGGTACTTGGTTTGGAACCAATGACCCTTAGGTGGTAAATGGTAGGGTTAATATGCACTTATTCCCAGAGCCCAAGCTCTATACTCGATGCTATGTCTTCCCCTCAGAATTTTCTCTGTTTGTTGTGCAGGCCTCTATGGCTCCAGTTATCCCACTACACCTACTATGTATATATGTCTCAGTTACTTCACTATGAGACCCCAAACACTGGGTTTAGATCCATGAAGATAATGAGTAATTGTAAGTTGAGTTAAATTCAATTTTATTTAAATTAAAACCAAAGGACTGAAGAACAACTTCCCTGGGTTCAAAAATTGGCTTTGGTAGTAATAATTTTATAAACTTAAATACATTACTCAAATTCTGTGCTTCATAAGTTAAATAGGGGTAACAACTAGTAAATCTTATAGAGTTGTTGAGAAAAACAAGAGAATATACATACATTGTCTAGAGCAGTCTATGGCACACAAGCAACATAGAAGTATAAAGATTTACCAGGCTCAGGAAACTGAAATGACAGATATATTCATTCCAGACATGTCATCTTGATCAAAACGTCAGTTTTTCCACATCTCAGTTTACAAATTTACAAAATTTAGAAGGTTGGAGATGATCCATGAAGATCTTTCAGTTTCAGCAATGTGTAACTTTATAGATAATTTATGTATTAAATTTTGTTGTCAAGCGTATACTTTAGATCTGAATAATATTGAAGTAAGAATTATTGCTGTAATAAAATATTTCACATCTATCACTTATCTATCATCTGTCTACCTATTTCAACTTACTTCAATAACCTTGTTTTTTATTACTCTGTTCTTTACTTCTCATTGCTACAGGGCATATTGTAATTCCCAAACAACACCCATGAAAAACAACACAGAAGTGACTGAATTTGTCCTTCTAGGACTAACCAATACCCCAGAACTTCAGATACCCCTCTTTATAATTTTCACTCTCATTTATCTCGTCAGTGTAGTTGGAAACCTGGGGATGATTCTTTTGATTGTCATGGACTTTCATCTACACACTCCCATGTACTTTTTCCTTAGCAACCTGTCTCTGGTGGACTTTTGTTACTCTACAGCTGTCACTCCCAAAGTCATGGCTGGGCTCCTTATAGGAGACAAGATCATCTCCTACAATGCTTGTGCTGCTCAGATGTTCTTTTTTGTAGCCTTGGCCACTGTTGAAAATTTCCTCTTGGCATCAATGGCTTATGATCGCTTTGCAGCAGTATGCAAACCCCTACATTACACCACCACCATGACAACAAGTGTATGTGCTTGTCTAGCCATTGGCTCCTACATCTATGGTTTCATGAATGCCTCTGTTCACATAAGGGACACATTTAGTCTCTCTTTCTGTATGTCCAATATGGTCCATCATTTTTTCTGTGATATACCGGCAGTCATGTCCCTCTCTTGCTCTGATAGACATGTTAGTGAGCTGATCCTTGTTGTTGTGGCAAGCTTCAATATCTTTTTTGCTCTCCTGGTTATCTTGATTTCCTACATGTTCATATTTATCACCATCCTGAAGATGCACTCAGCTGAGGGATATCACAAGGCTTTATCTACTTGTGCTTCTCACCTCACTACAGTTGCCATCTTCTATGGGACAGCCATCTTTATGTACTCCCAGCCCAGCTCCAGTCATTCCATGGACACAGACAAAATTGCATCTGTGTTCTATACAATGGTCATCCCAATGCTAAACCCCCTTGTCTATAGCTTGAGGAACAAAGAGGTTAAAAATGCATTCAAGAAGTTGGTTGACAAGGTAAATTTTTCTCTAGGCTTCGCCTTTTAAAGTTGTGAGATCCACAATGACCTAGTTTCATTCCTCTCAGATCTTCAACATGCAATGACTCACATTTAAGGTCTACTCTACACTTAAATTACTGAGGTAATGCCATTTCTTCTTCAAAAGCCTATCATCTAGAAAAAAGAAAATACTATGTCCAGATACTTGATATCTGAATGAGGATGTCCTGAGTGTAGATGACCTTAAGAATTTTGAGGCTTTTCTTGTAATAAACTTTATTAATTATATCTCATTTACTCATATGTTGATTGTTTTTCTATCATGTGGCAATTCAAGCATATATGTAAGACATGGCATACAAAAACCCATGAATAGATGTGTATATAAGAATCCCACGTGTGCACATACACATTGGAGTGGGAAATTTGTTAATAGTTTTGGATGAAGTGTTGCTAGTTTTAAATGAAAAAGTTAAAATAATTAATTTATGTATCATAGAATAAATTTATTTCTGACATCATTTATTTCTCTAGTTGAAAAACTACCCTAAGAGTCCAAAAAGAAGAAAAATGTGACATGGATTTTCAAATAAAAATATGTGCTTTTCATTAGCACATTTTATTTAGAGCTACATACATACAGCATTTTAAAGAAATTAATATTTCTGTCTTCAGTAAGTCATTTGGTAAAAACAGTATGATAATATCATAATTTTCAAAAGCAAGAAGGCCAGAGGACAAAAAAGGTGATCAGATGACAAAGGAATTTTAAAATTTTTCTGAATATGAATACCTTCTCTTACATTTTATTTAAAAAAAAAACCCACACTGAGTAGTGATAGTGCTATCTCTTTTTCTCTCTGTAAATACTGTGAAATGGCTAATGTCAGTCATCTATGGATACTTTAGTTTTAGATGAGTACATCATGTCTTACCGCTCTCCTATTCATTCACTCCACTTCAGTCACACAGTTCCTTGCTATTCCTGGACAACTCCAGGCATGCTTCTGTCTCAGAGTCTTTGCACTTGCTCTTGCCAATGCTCAGAAAGCTCCCTCACTTCCTTCAGGTCTTTGCTTAAATATTACCACGTCATAGTCACCCTACCTGCTGATTGACAGTGTTTCCTTCTTGTTCTCCGTGCTTTATTTTTCATAGTCCTGGTCACTATTCAACTATTATTAATTAATTAATTGGTTAACCTTTTCATCTATTTCCCCACCAAGAACATACTCTACACAAGAGGAGTGACTTTGTCTTCTTTGCTAAAAACATCATCCTCAATCCATAGATTATGGCCTGGCTCATACTAATTTCTCAATAAACATCTAATTAATTAAGCTTTGAGTCATTATTTCAACCACTGATAATTATAGTTCATTACCCAAGATACAATTCCTTAGAAAAGAATTTTCAAGCTTTTTATGAGATGTGGCTGGGTTTTTTCTATATTCTCACTCACTATTCGTATTTCCTCGTTTTGGACAAATTAAGTTTGTGGAAATCACACTATCAAGTAGATTATATCAAACCTTTACAATTTTTTTTTATTAAGAATTGATCATTAAGTAGGAAATACATGAAATCAACTCTCAATGAACATAATAAGGAATGAATAGTCTGCTTTCATACCTTAATTTATTTATGTCTCATTTTCAAATGATGCATTCAATCAATTTATACATTTATTGAGCCATTATTACACATCAAGCCCTGGAAATGCAATGGAGAAACAATACTGACAAGATCTTGCCCTCACAGAGTTTGCAGCTTTATAGGAGACAGAGACAAGGAGACAACTAAATATGGAAATAATTTAAAAATGTTATTACTGCTATAAAATGTTCAGGGATTTGTGATAGATGCTAACAAAAGAGAATGTTTTCAGTACGAATATTTGAAAGGCTGAATGAGTCAGGTTTCTCTAGAAAAGCAAAATCACTGTTAGGGGATATGAGATTATTTGGAGTAAGTAGACTTTTAAAAATTCTGGGAAGAACTGGGGACGTGAAAGTCTGAAAGGGAGAGTTCAGTCCTTACAGAAAATTTATTCATCAATCCCACTGAAAGACTGGTAAGGTGATCAAGTCGGAGTTTTCAAGGGAAGCTTAGAAGTTAAGAAGCTAAGAAGAGAGCTAAGGAAGCTAAGTTAAGCCACCAAAGAGAGGCAGCTAAGGCTTTACTAGTGAAGAGATCTAAGGAATGCTCTTCTTTTGTGGAACGAATGCCTCTGTGTAGCTCCATGTTTATGTTTCCTGCTCCCCGTAAGTGTCCAATGGTGGTCCTGGAGCCACTGATGCTCATCAGAGCTGATAGTCAGGAATACCTAGACTTGGAGCAGAAGAGAAGGGAGGACAAACTAAACCTTCTCAAGTGCTTATGGATCTGTCATTATCATATTTAACCACAAGACCTGCAGATAAAAATGGCTGTCGCTTTATTCCCCCTCCCAAATCTTCACTGTATCCCTCTTTTGGTCAGTTCAATCTCAGAACCATTAAGGGAAAGGAATTCTGGGAAACATAATTCCCAGATTAACCAAGTTGACGACAGTGAAAATCCAATAGAATGGGATTTAAGGTGCACATTTTGCCGGAAGAACATTTGAATTTTTCAATTTTTTAGCCTCATTTCAACCAAAATGAGACAGAGCTATTAACATTGAGAGATGCAGGTAGAGCACTTCAGGCAGTGAGAACAGCAAGAGCAGAAATCTTGTGAAAGAAAGAAATTCATGTGTTCTAAGAACTGATGAAGTTCAGTGGGATTGGAGCACAAAGACGAAGGGTGAAAAGACCAGTTTGAAGGTCATGGTGGTGAACAAGATTATGCACGGCAGTGGCTTGGACAAAGTACATAGCAATGGAAATGAAGAAAACGGATATTCTAATGACAAACATCTGCATGCAAGTAAAATTTAAATGACATGCTGGTAAATAGGACGCAATGAGTAAGGAAAAGGAAGCGCTCAAGAATGACAGCATCACTGGGTTAGTGTTGCTGCCATTTACCGATACAGAAATGAGTAAAGGAGAAACAGTTTTAGAGGCAAAAAATAGAGTTCCATTGGATTTGGTGTATTTGAGATGCTTCTGAAATAGCAAAGTGGAGCTATCAAAGGAGACATCATTAGGTATCTTTTCCTCAGCAGATAAATCTGTATTCCATGCATTTAGTTCATTAAACAAATGTTTACTGAGTATCTATTATGGGTCAGGGTCTGTTCTAGGATTTGTGGCTAGAAATAGTTTAAAATTCTTATTTTCCTGAGGTTATATTACTGAGGGAGGAGATTGACAATGGAATAAACAACTAAATATATACACTAAATCAGATGGTAGTAAATGTAAAGAAGAAAAAATTAATATTATATTTTAGAAGACTCTAAAAGGAAAGTAGTTGAATACATTTCAGGGGCTACTATGATAATGAATGGTGAATAAATCACTTTGTCCTCTCAATTTGATTTAATAATATATGAACAAAGGTGGAATTATATTATGGGAGTCAGGGTACCTGAGTTCTACTCATAAATTTCCACTTGAGGCTTGTACAACTTGAGCAAGTCTCTCAACGTTACTGGATATCTGAATCTAGTACTATTGGAATGGATATTAGAACACAGGAGAGCCTGGAGTGGGTATTTTTAGAGAAAAAATCACCAATGGACACTCATGGAAAGTTGGAAGATGCACTCAATATGGATAGCAGAACTCACAAAGTCTCAAGTATAGCAGCCAATAGTCAGCTGAGCATGCATTTTCCTCTCTCATAGTACAAAGGTGTTTGATAATCTTTAATATTCCTTCCAGATCTGAAGCTGATTGGACCAACTTTTTTGTCAATAATGTGCTATTCTTTCTTGGATCATAGTGCAGTTCTTTCCATAATTCTGAATTTAGTCAGTGATGACTGCCTGCCTAAAAACAAGCAAAATGCTGACTTTAAATTCTTCTAATTCTTGTGCAGTTTGACTCTACTAAAGCAGTGATATTTGAGTTATCTCCTCTTTAATAGTACTATAATATCATCTCAACTTATCATTTCTTTCCTCATTACAAGTTCTAGGAGTGAAATAGTCACACCGAGAGAATGAGATGAAAATATTTCTTTACCAACGTGCAATTTTTATTCAACTTGATTTAGGCTAGACTATGTCTGTCTCACTCTCAATTATGACTCAGATGAACCCAAATCCTCCAGTCTTCTTTCCTTTACGTGTTAAATTAAATAGCAACTAACTACAGAAAGCTTGGTACCTTCCCAAATATTTCTGAGGTGTCTTTGAGTAAGGATTGTGTGTATTTTTTTTTACTTGTCTCTCAATGCATATTCCAAATCTCTGCCTTTATCTCACTTCTTCATCATTCCAGTATCACAGCACTTCCTGCACATGTTCTGTTTCAATCTCTAGGCTGCTTTTCTCCAAAAGTGACATAAATCACTCCTACTTCTTCATTTTTCCAAAGAAAAATTTATACAATAATCTTGTGTTCAGAAACAATGGGACGGAAGTAAAGCCCAGAGCTATGAATTGTTGCAAAGTGAGTATTTGATATAACTAATCCTCAGCTTCATGAAGGATCATCTACTGCCAAAGCATCTCTTGCCAGCCATCTCTCTGCTAAAACTTTGGCTGCCAATCATGTTTTTAGGATCTGTCCATCTTCTCTCCTCCCCAAATTAAGAGTCTCAAAGCCCTATCTCTCTAACTGCTTTGGGAGAAGTACAACATGCATTTACTCTATTATACTGGTTGGCAAAATATTTAATAACTGTGCAAAGCAATGAATGATCATGGACTAGAATGTTGAGTGTACATTTAATGAGATTTTTATCCCCATCACAGAACAAAAACTACTCAAATTCATCCATCAACTTCATATTGCTGTAGCTTATGGCAAATTCTTGGTCTTGATATTAAGTTTGACACATATATTCCCTGTTGAAACATTTCTCATCACTTGGCTTCCAGTAACTCATCTCTCTTGCCACTATTGGAAGAAGTTACCCAGGTCTCAGTCATTGAACCACTTCTCTTCTCTC